AAAACTTGTATGACAGTCCTGATATGACCTGTTGAACAAAGGGCTAGCTCTGGTCCATTTAACTGTGGTAACCAATCACTGGGATTGCAAAGCGGACTATGGGTGCCTCTAATTAGTGTCCCACCACATCAATTACTTTTTTCCCTAAGCCTGTTCTGGATATGGGCACAGGCTGTAGTTGGGTAGTGGGGTGACTGCAGACTTTGTATTGCGACTGCATTGTGATGCATTGCTTTAAATGGCTCTCTGACTGGGCAATCCATGCCACGGTCCACCAATATGCTTTCTTGAGTCTCTGTTTTTGTTCTCAATATGCCGCTGGGTGCGTCATCATGAGCAGGGACGATTTCAGCTTTGCTGGAGGCTTGTCTGGCAACAGGAGTCTGTGTTTGCCATGATACCACGCAGTCATCTTGTATGAAGTTCGTGTCGAAGTTGAAGAATGGCTGTAGTTTGAGTCAATTCCTTTGTGATTGGCATCTGAAAGTGAGCATTTCACGCAGTTTACGTCTTGCACAGGAAAGGAAGTGATGCAGCTTTAAACATCAGTTATCAGTAACAGCATGTGAGTGCAGAAAGTTAGTGCTTATCTGTTGTCCGTCTTCCAACGGCTCCTGAGTTTGGAAGGGACGAGATAACAGTCAGCATTTACATCCCGACCCCTTGTACTGGATGTCGTAGTTTAATGGTAACAGTACGAATGACCACCTCTATCCGCATACTGCTCTGTGACCTTTTGAGGCAAGCAGTGTGGTGAGAGGGCTGTGGTCGGTACGTAGTGTGAAATGTCTTCCCCATAAGTAAGTTCTCCACTTTTCTGTGGCCCACACGCACCCCAGGGCCTCCTTTTCGACAGTGGAGTATTTTCTCTCTGCCTGGGTGAGCGTGCGTGATGCAAAAGCAACAGTTTTCTCTGTGCCGTCTTGGTGCATCTGAGTGAGAACTGCGCCCAGCCCATAGTCAGACGCGTCCGTCATGACAACAGTGGGCAGCTCTGGGTTGAACAAGGACAGTGCCGGGCTGTTCACTATGAGTCCTTTTAACAGCCTCAAAACTCCTCTGCGCCTCAGGTGTCCATGTAAAAGCATCAGCTCCATGCAGGAGTGCTCGCAGGGGCTCAACAACAGCAGCATAGTCTGGTATGAATTTTGAATACCATGACGTGAGCCCAAGAAATGACCTCAACTTAGGCAGGTCGGTTGGTGGAGGTGCTTGTGAAACAGCAGTCACATGTGAGGCATCAGGCTGCAGTCCTTGAGCTGATATGTGGCAGTGCAACTCTTGCGTCATTTCCTGTTTGTGCAAAACTGTAAAAAGTATTCGAGTACACAGTACAGTTTTGCAAACTAGTGTAGTGGATTTTGTGAACTGCCATTTTGCTACCTGTTTATATTGTTGTTTACTCCTCAGAGCATCGAGAGCAGACTGAAGGTTGTCCTTCCTGAGGACCTTGGGTCATCTCTGATGGACGGCGTTGTGCTCTGCCATCTGGCCAATCACATTCGCCCGCGCTCTGTCGCCAGCATCCACGTTCCCTCGCCTGCAGTGGTACGTCTCAGACTGTCAGCCCTGACCTCTGACCTTTCCCTGAGATGAAGACTAAGTGCATAAAGTCTAACACTCCAGAGTTTTTTATATAGGATTTCTTTATCTTTATCTCTTTTCTCTGCTATCTTTAAACAAGTTGCTCCTGAAACTGCTGAACAGGAAAATGTAAAAATAAATTCTGATACATTTAGTTTAGAAAGAGATCATTCTATATAAATCCGTTATTGTGTGACTCTGTGCTTCCAGCCCAAACTCAGCATGGCCAAGTGTCGGAGAAATGTGGAGAACTTCCTGGATGCCTGCAGAAAAATTGGTGTACCGGAGGTAAGAAAGGCCACTATACAATAACCCCCACCCTGTTAATGCTCTGACAGCAGTTGCGCCTCTACGAACTGGGGGTCGTATTCAAGTTTCTGCTCCAAAACCCACCACCAGTAAATATAGTAGTAGTATAGTAGATACCAGACACTGAAGACTTCTGTTGAAAACTTTTGGCAAACTGAAAGATCTTCTATGCTAAATGTCAATTAGAACATGTTTCTTGGAATTGATGTAAAATGGTGTAGACCACACTGTCACAGCACAAGTTTGAGCTTTCCATCCTAAAGAGTTGTTCTTGTTAAATCAGCTATTGCTGAAGACACCCAGCTCATGAAGATAGTTATGGTACTTTCAAACCCTTGGCACACGACTTCTCAGTTCTAACATAAACTAGTCAAATCTGATCCCATTGATGTGATACCAATCTCGTTTAGATTCAGTGTGACTGACTATTCCCAAGGATTTCATAATCTCAGATGTCTACCTAAAATATACCTCCATGAGTGTGTAAGGGATGGGACGATATATGATAAGTATATTGAGACTATTTCGCGTTATCGGGATAATCATGTTGTGCCATTACTAGTCCCTATTCTAGGGAAGAAGGTACTCCTCCTAACTCCTGACAATCATAACAATTATATTCCTTCAGTATTACAGTAATCCAGTGATAGTTGTCTGTAAACCATGGGTACACTGCAAAGAGGAGCCTCTAACAGCTAATTCAGAAGACTTTTAATGGTGCTAGTTAGTAAAAAATCGTGGCAAAAAAAACGGGTTCAAGTTGTAGCCCACAACTAACTCACTGAATCCAGCGTTATACTTCCTGATTACATTTCCAAAGCATCATGAGTAATGGGGGGCAGCCCTTGTCTTGATTTTGGTTAAGATGGGAGGCCCTGAGAATTGATGCATTGAATTTTATATTATTTAATATGAATAATCAGTTGTTATAATGTTTTGTTGTTTATTAATCTATGGAAAGCTGTGGTTCTATGGCATAACCAGAGTGACTAAACAAACTACACAACCCCTCTGCAGCTGAAAGACATTCTGTTAGTCAGTCCAGGGATACCCAACCTGAAAACACCCCCAGTTCGTATACAGATATACAGATAATGTAAAAGGAACCGTGAAGGTGTCCTGCAAAATAAGTCTTCAGTCTCTTAAACATTATATTTGCTGGTTCTGAGGAATCAACTTGTTCACATGGATGACAATGCAACATTTACAGCTGCATTATCTTCTGATTTATGTGGGTAAGTGAGGTGCAAACTGCAGTTGAGGATTTTTGCAGGACACCAATGTAAACCAGATCTGGGAGGTTGGCTGATGATACCATGTTTTTAACAGCAGCAGCTCTAAATCTTTTTGTCAGCTGATCCTCCTGAGATCAGAACTGATGATGTTTTCTGTCTCTGAAATTCAAACTTGAGAACCCCTCAGCATTTTCCCAGGACTGGTTTAATGTTCCGACTTGCCTCCTTTTTGTTGTCATGCCTTTTAATGGGGGTTGTTAGTGTCAACATTTAATATTGAATCATCACCGCTGTCATCGCTGCCTGTGGCTTCAGCTTCCTCCATCATGACAGAAGAACAAACCAGTTTCAGTCTGAAACAGAGCTGTTCTGGGTTTACTGTGTGCGTGTGCGTGCGTGCGTGCATGCGTGTGTGCGTGTGTGTGTTGTGCATGTGTGAAACTGCACACTTCCCGAAATTTCTAACTATTCCTCTAAAATGACAGTAGGAAAAGTGTTTTGCACACAGTATAGATACAGGGGCGTCAGTGGTAGGAGACATACACTTTGTGGTTATTACGTTTTTAGGTCACAATTAAAAGAACATTCCAAGAGCTTCTTACTTCCTAAAGCGTCTTGTAGACTCGCTTGGTAGTACTCCGCCACTCGGCCTGCGACCTGTTGCGCGGGACAACGTTGACGTCACGGTAGCGGCCGTAAACTATTTCATACCATGCGCTGGTGGTCGACACTAGTTGCAGTATCCCCTGAAGAGGAGGTGGCGCAACTGAGCAAAGGCTACCGATTTGCATTTCTACGCACTAGAAGAAGAAGAAAAAAAGGTTATACAATGGCGGCCTCTTTTTGATTTTGCAAATCGTTCGCGGAGGTTCTTCCCAAATTTTCCGGCATATGGCCTTCTCTTGTGTCCTTCATTGAATGATCTTTACAGATGTCTGTAGGAGCACACCGTGCTCGGAAAGCTTCATGTTTTCGGTTTGGGCGCGCTCAAGCTGAATAAAAAAAAAGTGGTCGGCGACCTTGCGCAAGCGGCCAAAATCCTGGCGCGCCAGTGAAATCCACGTCATTTTGACGTCACAGTGGTCGCACGACAGGTCTCAAGCGGCATGGCACTAAGAGACAGGTAGTTTAACTGGTTAAAAAGGTACTGTTTAATCACACTGACAGCTAGTTGCTAGGGCTACAATGATAACATCATTTTGTTCATACCATCTACGATTAAACCACTAAAATAAATGATAGAAATTCGATATCAAAGATGAATGTAATAAAATTGAAAATTACATTTTTCATTGAGACTTAAAATTGGAGTATAATTTTTTTGCTTTGCTGTTTTACATGTGATTATTTTTTATTATGTCATAGTATGTTTTAATTTTTAAAAAGTGTGGTCCTGAAAGAGAGACTTTTATTCATTCTTATTCTGAGCTGTTTACCTATACTGACTGGTTGACCTTTGACCTCCGTCTCTGCTGTTGCTTGCTGACTGTTTACAGCCACTGTGTGGACGTTGCTAGCTAGTAGGCTACCTGTAGCCTAAATGCTGACTATGCTTTTGCAAGCTAACGTGCTAAAAGCTTCTCCTAGCTAAAGAGCTACTAGCTTATGTGCTGGCCTGCTGCGCTGTTGGCTGAATGCGCTTGCTCTCCCATCAGCCACTTCACTCCTCATTACGGTCTGCTTACTGGGAGAGAAGAGAGCTCCCCTTTCAGAACCTTTCCTCATCCTCTCAGTAAGCATCCCTGCTCGTTGCCATGGTAATGCCTGCCTGCCCCCATCCCTCCTCACCCTCACCAGCTCACACTCTTGTCTGTGACCTTTGACCTTGTGTCCATTGGTTAACCCCCTGCCTTTTCTTTCTCTTTTTACTTTCTGGCTGGATCGCACCATCCTCTTTATCCTCTTCTCTCTCCTCCTCTCAACTTCATCAACGTTTCCTGTTTCGTATATTTTTTCACATTTTTCACGTTTTCATTTTCTTCTGGGTGATTTCAAACTGCCTCTGAACTTTGGTTTTGGTTTTTCATTCATTTCTCTTGACCTCATCCTCTTCATCACATATCATGTCCTCTTTTTATCCTCTCTTGGTTGAATGTTTTTGCACTTTACATACAACTTTTCTTCCTTCCTCCTCCCATCTTTATTCCATCTTCATGTCCTAATTTTTCCCTTATCCTCCCCTCATTTCCGACATCCCTTATTTCATACTTCCTCCTTACTTCCCTTGTTTCAATCTCTTCCTTATTCCCTGGTTATTTTCTCTATGCCACTTTCATCCTTCTTCCTTCTTTTCCTCCTTCTTTCTTTCCTTTCTTCCTTCCTTTGTTATTTTATTCCCACCTCCTGCCCTTTCTTTGACCCTCCCACCCTTCCCTTTTTGCCGTCTTTCTAATGGGGGCGCCAGTCTTCCCTCTGTTCACCTTATGACATCATCCAGAGCTGCCTGCAGCCGGTTTGCGCCACAGTTCAGGCGCTGGTTGCCTTGGATACAACCTATCTGGACAGGAAACAGGAAAAGGCAATCGCGACTCCAAACCCCACCTCCTCTGGGGGGTCAAAGACTCCCTCATTGGTTTCTGTTACCACTCAAACTCCACCTGCTGCATGGCAAATCTGGGACCTTATTGGCTCAAGCCTGCTTCACGTCCTCTGCCTAGTTCTGCTATTCTTGGCCTATAGTTGGAGTGAGCTAACGTAACCGTTCCTGTCCGTCACCTGCCAGCTCCGTCCTACTTCTGCCCAGCCTACTCCTCCTTATTTTTGCTGCGTTTATGTCACATGGGGAAAATATCACATTCAAAAATAAACTACTGTTGATGTTTGTTAGTGTCAACATTTTTGTGAGCTCATAAACTTTACTGCAACAAAATCAACAAATGTGAGTATAGTGATTCATTAAAGAGTAACTACATCCAAAAATGTTACTTTTCTCCGATAGAATACAACAGTACTTCTCATTTTGTTAAGAGTTCCCAGTGGATAACACATGGGCCCAGTAAGACATGTCATTAGTGTAAAAAGATTATATGCTCAGTATAAAAAAAGGATTTGTGGAGGCATGGCCAATGATTTTCACAAGATTATCATCAGGTCCATAATGACATATAAAAGATGGACATTGCGTCCCTACTTCCTCCCACTTTACAAAAATGAAGCCAATCCTATCCTGGATACAGCTGCTGCCATCTTTCACCACTCTGAGCCAGAGTCTGCGATGTAGTGGTCGGGGTTACTGCCGCAGTATCGAAGTCTTGCCCATATCCTTGGCAGACTTAATTGTGAGCATGACTCAGTTGTCAATCATGACATGAAACCCCTCTTTTCCAGCTTTAAATAATAGAAAAATAAACACTTGAACATGGATCAGCCCGATAAGTTTTACCTAAAATGACAGAAACCATCTTTGGTCAAATTTATTTGATGTGTACTTTGATTTTGTTTTGTGTTTGTCCCTTCTGCTAACATGGGGGCAGCAGGCTTTATATACTGCAGTCAGGTACTAGAGGGCAAAAGAGATGTTTTGGCTTCACTTTTGGAGAACTGTCATTTTATTCATTTTTATGTATGTTTCAGAGCTAGACTTTCCAAACACTGGTAGGAAACACCCTAGCCAAGCTACAAGACCCACACAGAAATTCTCTCAAGGAGACATAAAGCTCCATCAGACTCCCTGTGTTTGGGACATGAAAGCCTGACAGTAGTTGCTCATCGCAGGTTAGCTCTGACCAAAAGAGTCTGAGCTTAATTTAAGGGTGTACTTACTCTTTAACATTTGTGTTATACACTAAACCAGTGAAAATTAAAAAAATTACTTTCATGACACTTCATTTGTCCCGTATGGGATTAATAAAATTGATATAATCTAATCACCAGAACACACAATCATCGGTTCATCCCATGTGGTACAAATGCAACTCTACTCACCTTCTGCTCCTTGTTTTTTTCTTCTTCTTGCCCTTTTAGGAAAAACAACTCACAGACGTGTTTGTGTCTTTGCAATAAACAGAGACTGAAAGCAGGACATGTGGAGCAGCGGGTTACTTAAAGTCACTCATGTCTTATGAACATGCTGTACAGCAGAGATAATCTGATCTGTGCAGGAGTGAGAGGGCTCATAACATTAGGATCAAATTCTTGTTTTGTTCACCTGTTGACAACCATGAAAAAACAATAACATGAGGCATATTAACACCATGTTGGAAGAAGAAAATGAAAAATTGTCCCAGTATTGACATCTCCTTGAAAAAACAAATTCAGTGTTTGTGTTCCGATTTGTTATGTATTTCAATATTAATACTGTGCGCAGTATGCAGTTTGCTGAAATGTACCAACAGCCATTTGGCACCATCATGGAGGTCTAGTAAACTATAACTATAACTGGCTATAGGCAATCTTTAAGAAATTATAACAACTGGTTGTCAATCCATTTAGTTATTCTTTAAACAAAAATGAATGGTTTTAAATTGTTGCCAATGTAGATTACGATGACTGGCTGTTTTACATGCGCATGATGTCTAAAAAATCACAGTAGTCACAAGTCACAAGAAAGTTTGAAGTCGATACGTCCCAAGTAAAGACTGTAGTCCCAAGTCCTGAATGTTTAGTTTTGAGGCCTAAACAAGTCATAATGCACTCTTCACCAAATGCATGACCACCCCATAGTGTTTGTACATGAATGAAATTATCTTTTGGTATCATATATGCCAACTGGTGCTCAGCAACGTAACATCAGTTCTTCATGGCTCCTGCAACTTGGCTGGATGCTGCTGGATTTGAATAAATAGCATTAACGTTAGTTGATTCAGGAAATTAATTGATCGGCGGCACACTTTTAATAACATACTTTTTATTTATTGGGACCTGGGGGAAGGTATTAAATATTTTTGAGTCAAAAGTCCAACTGATGTCACGAGTCATTGGTTTTGAAATCCAAGTGGATCCATTTGCAGGCCTGTTTTAATTTTGTCAAGTGGAGTCTGAAGTCATCAAATTTGGGACTTCAAGTTCAAGTCATGTGACTCCAGTCAACAGCCTTGATACTAAGCCACATAAATTGCTGAAGATACACCCTCCACATTATTTTTCTGTGTGACTGGTCCCTTACGGCTGCATCTGCAGCGATGCTTCATTCGAGAGTCGAGGTCTTGTCTATTCTTACCGCGAGACACAAGCATCTTCATCACATCACAAGCGCCTTTCTAGTCTTCCGATGACATGGCACATTTGCCCATTCACACACATCGGGAAAAACCTTCAGTACTAATCTTTGCTCTTCTTTCATTGAACAAAATTTGCTCTCTAGTTCTGATCGAATTAATGCTAACAACATCTACGCTAACCTCTTAAGCAGCCCTCACACAGACCCAGATTGGTCTGATCCACTGTGGTTGGACACAAATGCATAGCTTGAAGACTGGCAAGATGGATTCTTACGTGATTCTGTGATCTTGCGAGTCCAGCTGCCTGGCAGTATTACAGAATTGGACCAGAATGAACTAACGTGTGTTAGACGGTTAACTGAACGAATACTGTGGTTGGCTAACAAACAATCTAAATAAAATATTGAAATGGGTCCTTTAGATGTTGGTCAGACAGAAATTAACCCTCTCTACTGCTTTAAAGAATCCAATCAGAAGTTCTGAAGACCTTCAATATGGCTGCCAAATGGTAATGCTGAAGCTGCTGTTTTATCACTGATGTACTAAAAACGTTTTTCAGTGATGCAAACAACAAGAGCAGCTTTGTAAGGACCATGATTTAAAATGTGTAGTTTCAGAATGACTAGTTGATGACGTGAAGGTGGATTTTCGTGGTTGTTCTAATATTTCAGATAGGCACATGATTCCTGAATGGAGGTGTTTAGTGGCTCACCATTATAGAACTGCACAAACACTATAATTTTTTTCAAATGTGGGACATAATGTGTGATATAACAATAGTTATTGATTATTTAAGACGGTTAGATGTAATTTTGATTTGCCTGAGTTATTTAAAATGGTTATTTGAGTATATTTTGAAACTTAAGAAAATGTGTATTTTAGTTATACATTTATTTTTTTCCTGCACCGAAATAAGATGACTTTTAATGTACATCAACTACTAGTGTATCCTAATATGCAATGTGACTGTTTCTGGAGAACATTTGAAGGGCTAGATAGACACTAGATGAGCTTATGAAGTTAGATATATCTTAGTCTTACGGTTCGATACACAGAGGATTAGAATGTCGCTCTGTTTGCAACCTTGAGAGGATTTAAATACTGAGGAATGTGGATTTGCTATGCCCACTGCAACTTTCAAAAACAAAATTTTGCCTGGCCATGTGAGCAGCTGATTGGCTGATGAATTAATTCACAGAAACTAAATGAATACAGATGTGTTGGCCTTTAATTATTGGTGTCAAAAGAAAATGTTATGTATTATATATAGAACACTAACCAGTGTAAGCTGAGTAACTAAAATGTTCTTTTCTGTTACTGTGAATATGAATTACTCACGTGTTCTGTGAATTAATTCTTGCAGTAACTTTCAGTTGTTGACACATTCTCTGCACAGATTTTCTAACTTTGTGCTGATGTGAATGGATTTCATGTATGATATTTGTTAAAGACTGAGGTAATAAATGACGTTTAGGGGGGATGTCTGGTCTACAGAGTCATTGTTTGAGCCGACTTCAGGTGAAAGCTTAAGGACCTGCTACCCACTGTCTTTTTAAACTTTATAACGTAAAGCACCTTGTGTAACCCCTGTGTATGAAATGTGCTATATGAATAAACTTGCCATGATTTATAGAAGTTACATTTTATGCTAATTTGCTTTCTTGCTGAGAAATCTGGCCATTAAATATGAAGCTACAGCCAGCAGACGGTTAGCATCCTGCCCATAACCCCTTTAACTCTAGGTTGAACACAGGAAAGTTTTAATTAGTAACTTTTAGAGGTGATTGTAGACAGTTTTTATTTATTTATTTATTTTTTTACCTTTGCACAGAGCCAGGCCACCTGTTTCCAGTATTAATGCTAAGCTAAGCTAACCGTGTGCTAGCTGTAGGTTCAGATGTACAGACATGAAAGGGGTATTTATATTCTCATCTAACTCTCGGCCAGAAAGCAAATCAGCATGAATGCCAAACTGCTCCTTTCACAACATAATCCAGAACTCTACAGCACTTATTCCCAACCTTTTTCCTTAAGGGACCCTTGTTCATTGAGTAAACTGACTAAGTGACATATTTTATGGATATTTTATATTATATCCGATGCATAATAACTGTAGAGAACAACTGATAAACTGTACAATGAACCCAAAATTCATTGGTGTAAAATGAGAGATTTGGATGAATTTTTGTAAAATTCTTGCACACTTAATCAACTTTTTTTTTTGACAAATACAGTGTTCCTGAAACTTGGCCATTGTTCTAGTAGCTCTTTGGTTGTTTTAACAGCATACTTTTCTCATGCAGAATGAGCCTTCACAAAGAGTCAATATAGCTTGTGTTCAGGTCTTCAAAGCTTAGCTTTCCCCTTCCTTCCAAGGAGAAACTACAGGGGCCATGAAATATTCAATTTTATATTCCATTTTTTAAATAAAAACCTATCTATCTTTGAAAATAACATTTTCATTTAGTTTTCTTCACAGAAATGCAAATGTATATAATATAATATATATTAATAAATAAATATATACATATATGTATGTATGTATATATATGTATATGTGTATATATATATACACATATATATATATACATATATATATATATATATATATATATACACTATATATATATATATACGAGATATAATAATACATCGTGTATACTGATAATAGGTTAGTATACTAATATATATATAGTGTGGACCTGGTATGAACTTAATAAAGTCTCAGTAGAAAAGATTTCTTTGCCCTTTTATTTATTTTTTCAGCTATAGTGAAGAAGAGACAGTGGGAGGTTTCGTACATGCAGGCATTACAGAAACACGTCTTACACATATAAGCATTGTGTCTAAATATTCTGCTGCCCTTGTCCCTCTTCTGCCTCTACATCTGCTCCTTCACTCCTTACTTTTCTCCTTTTCTCCATCTGACTCTGGTCTCCCAGGACAAGCTGTGTCTCCCTCACCACATCCTGGAGGAGAAAGGCCTGGTGAAGGTGAGCATCACAGTCCAGGCTCTGGTGGACGAGGCCTCCTCTAAGCACACCCTCCTGACATGAGCAGCAGAGCTTCAACCAACTGACACGTACAACAAATACATACCTGGATGGAGAGGTTGACTCCATATCACATAATTCCATGACACACCTCTGTGCTCATTCTGAGTGTTTTTTTTATATTTAAGGATGCTAAATGGTGTTAAGGGATCAGAACCAGTCAGACATGGATTGATTAACAAGTTCATGAGAGGGAACTTCTGGGCAGAGTAGGAATACAATTTAATGCCAAGCAGAAAGACTAGTGGAAGAGCCAAAATGAACCAGCTTTTGACTGGTTCTATAGATGTTTTTTAGATGTTAGTTTCAGGGGGATGTGAGTGAAAATGAACCCTTATTACCCCCTTTCTTCAGGTAACCACAAGAGACACAAACTGTCAACTAAGGGCCTGATCACTCCCCTTTCCTTCCCCTTTCCTTTCTTTAAAAAAAAAATATATATAAAGGATTAATAGGGCCACTGTGAATGCCTTAAAGAATAAAGTCAAAATATTTTGGTGAAAAAATCATATTATGAGAATAAAGCAGTATTTGGGTCTTTAAAAAGGACCAATAATACAAGAGAGATTGAGATTGTTGCAGCCTAAAATGTCTGATTCCGCCGCAGCTTTTCCAAAAAAAATGTGACGCATGAGATGCTTTTACTGTTTTTTGAATGAAAATTGGCGTTTTGCACGGGGGACTGCTGTGATTTGTGAAACTCACAGGAAACTACAATGATTGGTCAAATTTGCAGAAAAGTTGCATAGAATTCACAGGGATTGGTTGAGTTTGCATTAATTGTTGCAAAGGCAACATCACAACTTTCTGGAGGGACTAGAACATTTGTAATATTAGTAATAATTTTATTAGAAAACTTCCTAATATTTGAGAATAAAGCAGTAGTATCACAAGATGTGACTTTATACTTGTAATGTTATAACTTTCCTCTTGAAAAGTATGATTTGTTTTTCATAAAATGACAACTGTATTCTTGTAATATGACTTTTTTCTTGAAATAACAATTTTATTCATATAATATTACATATTTCAAAATGACGACTTTTTCCTAAAAATCTGCATTTTTTTTGTCCGTACCAGTGGCCCTGATACTCTTGTGTACAAAGATAGATGCAGAGACCTGCTGATATTATGCAGTATTAGCTATTTTCTGGTGTTTTCCTGCTGTGTGGACTGAGGATTTTAGTGTCTCACTTTCAGTTCCCTGAAGAGAATAAAACCTAAATTATGTAAAGCCAAATGTCTTAAAATAGAGGGAGACCACTTTTAAACACAATTTCTATTTAAGATATTTATAATATAAGAGAAGCTGAGATAAGGTGTTTGAAATGTTATATACATTCAAAAAGATAAATATCCCCAAAATATTTTTCTCTAATATATTTTAGGTATATTTGTGTATGTTTTCTAGAAGTTTTACTGTGGCTTTGTTTGGAGCTCTCTGCATGTCCCTGAACCAGGTCTCAGTCTACATACCACTGTGGGGATACTACTCTGTGTTTATCAAGCCTCTGTTTTTTTTTTTTTTTTTCTTTGGATGTGGTTTCTTCATAAGATTCAGTTTGCTAACAAAAAAAGTCACAAAACAAAAGTTAAACACCAATCAATCACTATGTTCAAGTGCAAATGATAATTTCCATGTAATTTCATCAGCTTCTCGTGTCTGCAAGCAACAGAGCACCACCCATATTTTATGACTCTCTTAACGCTGCGAGTCATTTTTGTAAAATTCATATTCACTGAAACTTTCACTTTATCCCGACAGTAGTACATTAGACAGATGATCTGTGAACAAAAACAACCAATCAGACAACCCAAAAAGTCTTGTATTCAGGCCCGGTGGATTCTTACAAATGCCATTAGGAGCACTAGGAGGAGCCAGAGAAAGCTTGTGTACTACTGTCAGGATATAGTGAATGTTTCAGCAAATAAGACAAAAAGTTATTTTTATAAAAGTTACTTACTGCAGCTTTGTGTGTGTGTGTGAGTGAGTGAGTGTGAGAGAGTGAGAGAGTGTGTGTGTGCAGGAAGGGAATTGCCAGTTGGCCTTTTGAATGATGCGGTGATGGAGACCTGGCACAAACCAAGACTAAAGGGGCAGATAGTAAATATAGATTTTTATCGACTTCTACTGGCAGCTACAACAAATTGCAGCTTTCAGCAGCTGAAAGTGTTTTAACCTCTGAAGCTGGTTTGGTCTTTTTGTTTTAGCTGCATTCATTGATTATGACCACTAGGGGGCAGAAAATTGTGCTTTAAGTGTGAGAATGATTAAACCAGATCTAGAATTTGCCCCCATTTCCTGTATCTTATAAATTTTAGTTTGAGTCATATTATGCAAGAAAGCTTGTTGATTCATGACGTGTGTGTCTGTATGGACTGGACGTATATTACAGGAGGAGCAGAGGTAACTGGAGCTGCAGTTATTAATCACACATATGCCTCCTGAGCGATGGAGCTTGAGTTGTCCCAGATTTTTCCAGGAAATTGGATTGTTAAACATATTTCAATTTTAAGTGGTTATGAAACAGTCTCATTTTAATACGAATGCTTCTATACCAGTGGTTCTCAACCCAGAGGTTCTTAAGGGGGCTCTCCATAAAAATGGGGAATATTTTAATTTCACTGGCTAGAAGTTAGTTTTACAAAATGTGGATGGGACTCCCCAAAGGGCATCCAAACTGTTTCGGGGGAAGCTCAGTGAGTGGGTGTGAAAAAATATTAGTTATCAAAAGGATATCACATGGAATAGATAGTTCAGAGATACAGTAGTTTTGGTGCATTTTACTGTTTTTCCCTGAGACAGAAACTGATCTGTTTTATGTACTACTGTCAGGATACAGTAAAAGTGTCAGCGTATATGACAAAAAGTTGTTTTTAGAGAAATTACCTACTGCAGCTTTAATGTGAAGAATTGTTGAAATATTTCAACATGTTAAATAAAATAAAGAGCCTGTGAATAATCTTTTCACTGAATTAAAGGTCTAAATCAACAGTTTAGGTTTTGTCACATATTTACTTACTGCCCCTGTAAAAGCCAAATCTTGGCCGGTCTTGTGCCGTCATTCCCCTAAACGCCATAAGGAGATCACATCATGTGTCTAACACTCGTGAACCAGCAGGCTTGAATGAATTAAGTTTAATTTCTGTACATATTACAGCTTGGTATCCAAAGCTTGAGCTACTTAAAGATTTAGCAGTAAACACAAATAAGGAAATAAATAAATGCTTCCACTGGATTGATTTGACAGTTGCCAAAACAAACATTAACACTCTTGTGATAAAACTTTAGCTGAAATATATAATTTAAATGTTCTATAGCCTGTGTACAAATTATTTATCACGACATCTGAAAGGCAGTGATGAGTTATGTGTTTGTCTGTTTCTTCATGTACTGTATATTTCACCATGAAACACTCACAGCAGCAAGCCTTAAGCACCCACACTTTTTAATCAGTTGCTGAATAATGCACAATATCATATATATGATTAAAACATGTATTTCAACACTATGGGCAGCTTGATGATGTATTGTTCTATATAAGAGCTAGTGTTATCTGATAACTAATATTTTTCCCCTTGGCTAAATCTGTAGAGCAACTAATTGTCTTCCTGACATTTCATTCATTCCCGAAATTAAATCTTTTTGACTTCATATAGAACGCCTGCTGAAACAGTCCAACCCATAATCATAACGGAGTCATTATCACATCAGTGGGCAAGAAGAATATCAGGATCAGGTCAGCCATCATGGTGCAGAGAGCTAGAAAATATGGATGTTGGTAGATGGTAGTAGTTCATAATTTGTGTCAATATTTATTTATGACTCATATCCACAGTTCTGTACACATCACATCGTCAGTGTTTTGGGAAAAAGCAATAAAACCCAACTGGCTGCTTCCCCAACAGAATGTGCACTTTAAACTTCTATATTTATATCTTTGTTCTGGCAACTGAGAAAATCTTCAATCACCTTTAATCTGAACAGAGAGTAGAACTTTGACAAATGTGACACTGGTGTAAATTGTGTAAATGTGTGGTAAATAGAACGTAAAGCAGTGTGGTTGTTTTTTAATTTAATTTTTTTTTTGTATATATATTGTCCAGAAACAGCCCGTACTCACATTTTTGTACTTTTCTGACTGGGTGGAAATGTATTTTTTATGTGACTTCTTTTTTTTGAAACTCTGATGTAACATAGCCTTATCTCTCTATACCTCTGTGTATTTCATTGTACAGCATCTCCATTTTACATGCATGAAATGTCCCTTTAATGTCGCCTTAACTGCTGTGAATACTGTATATACTGCACTGTATTTCTCATCACTTTATCAGTAAAGACCTCAACTGGCTAAACAATTTGACCTTTTTTGGATCAGCATCTGCTAAATCTGTTGATGTTAAAGGTAAAACTTTGATCGAGCCCAAAAGAACAGGCCCAACCTAACCCAAGCCCCAAAATATCATCTGTGCACCTAAACTGAGCCCAAACCACGGAGGCAGTTTTGGGCCTGACCCCCCCATCATGCATTTAATATAGTATATAGTTTATATAGTAATTTAATGAGTTTATTGAGTCAATGAAGTGAAATCAGTATTTTCATCACCACACTGAAATATACCCCATTTTGTGTCAATATTTTGTGGGTGGAGCCTAACTGGTGTCAACTACTGCAGCAGCTTAAGTTAACCGCAGCACTCGCACCACCATAGACATCGGCCAAAACAGTGACATGATGTTCACGAGACTCTACGCTGAAATAAACACTGAATGCTGTAAGATAAATGACAATCATATTTAGAATGCCTCACTATATCTGTAATGTTCCTACACCACTAAGGACGCCCCTGCCTCGCATCGCTCTCGACTAGTAGAAAGCAATCGTTAGCTTTGTACCGTTCATCATTTGTTGTTGGCTAAAACCAACCCCGTTTGTCAGAGTACATAAGTTGGTATCATGGATCTCGTTAGCTGGTGAAGTAATCTGGCAAGTAAACATTAGCCAATTAACATATCCACTCAAATAAAATTAGTATTTTCCTGGCAATGACATTAATAACGGTTAGCCAGCCAGCTACAACCCAGCCTCTCGCATCGTCTGGTGATGGCCGCTGCCAGCTGATACGGTGTCAATAATACAAACATTCTGTGTAAAATGAGAGCACACAAACACAGCTCTTAGAGAAGGCTTTTATATTGAAATGACAGGACTCTGTGCAGATACACATGATTGAAAACATGAACTTAGGTACGCTGACAGAGGAAGGTCTCTGATCAGTGGTTTTTGCAGCTTCATCTCATTGGGACCATTAGCGGCCCACCAGGCAGTCACATGCTGTGCAAGGACACGCTCCCTGGGTTTTAAGGCGTTCCACAGTGACGGGATGAGGGCCGACTGGTGCTGGTCTCAGCGCTTTCCAGCTGTTTGTGGTTCTTGGGTGACGTTAAATTCCATACCTCTGCTTCAGCTGCTCCACCAGGCCAATGTACTCGTTCATGGCATCCTCTTTGCTCTTTCCTGACAATTAATGACAAATCAAAGTGCATTCAAGTTTAACATAGTCAAGTCAAATGACTGAATAAATGAGCACTGCTCCTTTATTTACTTTAATCACTTCCTCCTGGTTGCGTGCAGTGTGTGTGCGCTCACACAGGTCTATTACTGGATTCCACAGTGACTTCTCTCTGGCTATCTGGGATTGCCAATATTAGGTTTGGAGAGAAGAAATAACTTTGAGGATGATATTAAACAAGAATATACCGGTAGATGTTAAAGAATATTTTATTGTAACTACTTGAGTTGAGTCAGGCAATTGTTTCTCTGGGTTGTACCAACACTGTACTCACCAAACTGTGCATTTACTTATAAGTAAATGGCTGCATTTATGTCAAAAGGAAGTGCAGAGATTTGACTACTGACAACAAAGTATGAAGAATATGAAGGAAAATCAGGAATTGTTAGTTGTTACAACACAATCAATACAAACTTTGCCCATAAACTTTATACAAGTAACGCTAACTACAATAATCCAATCAATTTTTAACACCTGTCAAAATCATATTTAGATATTTTAAGGACTTTGCATTGCAAATTGCATTTTAGACTTTTAAAGTAGGAACCTATGCACGTTTACACCAGTAGCTACTCTGTAGCTAACCTGTGCCTCCTCAAAAATCAAACTTCATGTCTGTTCCTGATGCTGGGGGACATTGTTGAGAGTGAAGACAACATGATAAAGTTGGGGAATGACTTTGTAGTCCGCTCAGTTCACCTCTCTGTCTTTAGTGAAAGAAAGAACAAGCACAGCTGGTGCACAATGTGGATAAAGGAATACACACAGTTACTGTAGGGAATATAAAGTGTGGTAAGGCCTGATAACATGATACACTGGTATACTGTTGCAGTAGGTATCTACTGCTGAACTGCTGTAACCCTGAGTCCACCTAAGTGTGAATATGAAAAATTATTTGCTTGCACCAGTGACTGACTGTGCTAAAGTCGCTAAACTCTGATGGCAACAGCGCTGTTATCTCTCCTCCTACTAACAAAGCCCATACATACAAAGTGTATTCAGCTAGAAGCTTCTCATTTGTACTGGTTTAAATGACCAACCATATCAGTTGTCAATCATTTACGTCAATTTCTGAGTAACCTTACGGCAGGCCAAGAGAAAACTTGGCTGGAGTCGGGTCTGTGTCGGTACCCTGTAAATACTGTACAGTGCTTCTGAAGTCCTAACTCCAACAGAGTGAGACATCCTCTCTCTCTGATTTGGTCACTTCAGGAGTCACATTCTCTACTTACCCTTACATCTATGTCATATCAATAACTAAAGCACAATAGTTAGCATAATAATTCTGAGTCAGAATTCCTTTAGAATTTGGATCAAGTAGTTTGTGAAAAGTAAGATGTACTGAATTTAGAAAGCTACACATTATTTCAATGTGGCAGTCAAACAGCATTAAGGACAATCTCAGTATGTGATCAGACTCAGTATCAGCAGGTATTAAAAGATTAGGGCTCACTCTTTCATTTCCAGGCTCTCTGATAAGAAGATGGTTTGTGAGTTGAACTTTGAACTATGACTTTTGAACTATTCTCTTCTGGTCTGTCTTGAAGACATCAGA